AAATTATAACACGCGTAAATTTTTGATGGTTTTTTTTATTGAGTAAAAGAGTTCGTTTCTAGTACAAATTTCAGGTAGATTCTTCCTAATCAATCTGATATATCCGTAGATAGAAAAGCGTTGATTTGATTTAAGAGAAACATGACGCCATACAAAATGGTACTAAAAGTCACTTGGTTTTGAGATGAATATGTGATACAATTAGGATATCCACTGTACCATTTTCGAACCATTGTGAATAATGATTTCACGTGAAAATTATCAAATGTCGGAAGTATGAGAAACTGGTCTCACACCATAGTATTACACGATGAATTATCAATTCCAATTACTTTGCATTACATCAGACCAAAGAAGGTGAAGACCGACATTGGTTACAGGTTATACAAACAGGCAAATGTAACGGCTATATGAAGATGGATAGTGTATCCAGTGTATAGAGAAGGATAAATAGTGAGTACCCATACGCTTGGACTGATTTATGCAGCAGGCGGTAATGAACGAGCGGACAGCAATACGTTGAACCAATAAAAAGACTCTAAAAGACCTGGATTCTGCAGACGACTTATGTTTAGTGTTGCATAAATTCGGAGACTTACAGATGTACACCTTCAGGTTGGCAGCATAGGCTAACAGGAAAGGCAAAACTTCAAGTGAACATGCAGAAGACGCTGCTGATGAAGATAACCAAGCAACAAGAGAAAAATAAAAAGTACTAATCCCTATCAAAGGGAAAAAGCTGGAAGAGGTTGCTTTCTTCAGTTGTCTAGGTAGTAAGCATTGTTTCAACCAGAGCTGGAGGAACGGACGAAAACTTGAAAGCCAGAATCAAAAAGGCAAGAAAGATCTTTATCATCCAAAAATCAGTTTCGAAATCTTTCGCACTCAGAATAAAGGACAAGATTTAGATTTTCAACACCAATGTTAAGTTAATCAGTTCTTTTATATAGATCAGAAACTTGGCATGCACGTCACGAAAAGCACTTCCAACAGGCCATTGCAGACTTTTGTCAAAAGCTGCCCTTTTTCACTGGCCCCATAGTGAATATCAGACAGCCAAGCACAATAGATGAGAAGGAAGCAGCTCTGGGAATGGATCGATCAAGAACCTGTTGCCGAGAAAAATGGAGATGGATCGAACACACACTGAGGAAACCTCTTGGTGACATCGAGCGCCAGGCTATCACTCGAATGAGATCAGAATGGAATGCAACGCGTTGGGCCTTCTTTCAAGGGTGACACGATGAAGATCGTCAGAGGAGGAGGTGATAGGATAGAGGCAACCGTGGATTCAGTTAAATAGGACCACAGAGAATAAGAAAAGCGAAGGTGTGCATTTGAAGGTCTATCTTTCACTCGGAACCCAAGGGAATAGGAAAATAATGAGTATGGGTATCCCACCAGAATGACTAATCTCATCGTTTTGGTTTGTTTGCACTTGATATTACGTATATCATACTGGAGTCTGGCTTGAAGGTGTTGTCAAGGAAGACAATGATGGCTTGCCAATTAAAGAAATTGACTCAGCGAAAACACAGTCACACATCAAAAACTTTTACTTCATCTAAAAAAAGTCCACAGCTTCAAGAAGACAACACCAAAATATATTAGCTAATAAATTCACTGTAATTTCATGTTGAAAAAAATCTTTATTTGCCAATATTATTATCATTATTATTCATCAGCAATATTCACTAGACTGATGAGTCTTGCAGTTGTCACATGCAATAAATTTTTAAATAATAATGTAATCAGATATGGGATATAATTCTATCTTCCAGCCTGGAATTAGTCTATTTTAAATATAACCTAGTGGATTGTTGTTATCAACATACAAATAGTAAGTATGAATGTAAGGGTACCCTGAAACAGGAATACGAAGGAGACCTACAAAAAACTGATGACAAAAAGAGTGATAATTACAAGAGCTGATGAAGGATGAAGAGTAGTCCTTCTTGACAGAAATGCTTATTTACAAAAGTTGACATGTAAGGATTAGATTTGGTTTTCCAGTTTGACGGGAGATTGATATCAGTTAGAGAACCATTGAAGACCATGGAGAATTGGATAGCTGCCTCATCCAAGTTTTGAACTCATGTGCACTACGCACCCACTCTCCAGGTTTAAACTTTAGGTCCTTCAGGTTACAAGGCAAGTTCGTAGATAATTCAGCCAACCCATGAATCCTAACTTCCGACAATTCGTGATTTTAGGGCGACTGGCACCAGCTGGTATCATCGGTGAGCATTTGTTTTCATTCCCGAATTTGAGTACTGGACAGCTGTTTCGTCCTAGTTTCGAACTCTTCATCAGTAAGCATCCACCGGCAAGTATCGAACACCCAGGGCTTACCGGTTACAAGACGAACTCTTATACCATTAAGCCACCGGAGGAGCTGATTCAGTTGGCATCCCATGAATTCCAGCTTCTGCCAATTCATGATACGGCGCGACGACTAACGAATATCATCGCTGGCTAGTATTTGTCATCACACTTGACCTGTTGTACCCTACTGGTCATGACTTCCCACTAGATGTCATATGATTATAAGACTAGTCTTATGAGGTTAAAAATCTGATTAGCAATACAATCCCTTAGCTCACTCAGTATAGATATGAATAGATGGTGAAAAAGTCCATAATTCACAGCATTCCTTCTATAACCATACATATATTTACATTTTAATTTCCTTCTCCAAAATCGGAAATAAAAAACAACTATTATTTTTGATTTTTTAAAATTCATTTTGGTTCTTAATCACAGCTTGATTCCACACTATATTTTTGGTACAAGTATGGAACTTTCAGCATGTGATATTGGTAGCCAAAATTTTGCAGGCTGACCATAGATATCAGGTGTGCATCAGCAGGGAATCGAACCCCGTACCATGTGCATGGTCGGCGAGAGTCCTAAACACTGTGCCACCGTTATTTAAGGCATGAACTAATGTAGCTCTACTACCTAATTTCCAGAAGGAGAATTAAGTCAAATCGAGGTTTTCGTTCACACACACAGACACAGACAAAGTCTAGGAGTACTTTTGACCCTGGAAAACATATGCCAAAGAACAAATAGTAGTGTAGGTGGGTGCACACAGTATGTCTAGTTCATTTTTTTCCACAAATGATGATTTATTCTATTTCAAACGAGAATATCCTGATGTTAACTAATGAATGCAAAGAAAAAACTAGAAAACCTGTCAGTAATTGTTCGTCAGCCAACCATAAAGGATATTAATAATAATGATGATAATAATAATGACATCTGTCAATATAGATGAACAATATGAAAGCTACCACCAAATAAATCACTTATAAGTAGACAGGAAAGAAAATCAACAAAAAAGCTTATTCAGAGGTGGGAGGGCTTGGGGTGATTAAATAGAAAAGATCATTTATATACACTTTTCATTCACTTAATTTAATATCATCAATTTCAATTTATCTAATGGTTATCACATCTAATACTTTTAGACATATCTATCTAATTTTTAGATTAAATTAATCAATCATTCACAAAGAACTGACCGAAATGTCTGAAATATAAACTAATGGACTAAAGGATATAAAATGATATACTCTAGCTTAGATTACAGAAGTACAAAAAGGAAGTATTGAAGAGATTAGCTTAGCAAGAAGTGATAAGATTCAATAGCCTTAAGTGATGATTACCCTTATCCTTGACCAACTTGAATGTACATGTGAACACACATACATATGGAGAACTCACTGATCTCTGCAAGTAAGGGCTGCCTCAAGAAGCATATAGAATACCCAGAATCCATTTATGATGAGAACAGAAGACCCAGCTCCTTCTTTTATTGTGAAACATATCCCACGGACAGGGCATGAAATTGATGTTTACACGTGGTTTAAACATAGACATATTGCTTAGTCGACGGCCTGGTGGGTCAATAAAAAGATGTATCTATAGAAAACCTACCTAGACAGTATAGTATCTTAATTATCACAGTTTATGTCCTGTTCGGTACAAAAGAGCCTTAGTAAGATGCCTGTTCAGTAGAGTACAGAAAATATGCACTGAAGGCACACTTGATGAAGAAGAAAGAAAGTTGACACAAACTGTGGTTGATAAAAATTATCCAGAACACTAAGACATACTCTCCAACTCACCCCTAAGAAAGACGTGTACATCAAGCTACACTATGTGGGACATCATAGCAGCTTGACAACTAGACAAGAATTGAACGCTGCTGGTAAAAAGACTTTCTTTTCAGCTAATATCATAATAATTGAGAATGTGAAGTCAATATATCCATCTAAGCCCTATGAACAGGCGAAAAATGATGTCACATCCCACTGTATTTACCGATTTGAATATACGTGTGGCCACATACACATAGGGAGGACTCATTGAGCTCTGCAAGTAAAGGCTGGCTTCACAGCATATTCCTAAATGACTTCAGAAGCAAATAGAATACACAGAACCCATTATTGGTGAGAACGGACGACGAACTACTTCCTCTACTGCGAAACATATTATAGTGACAGGACATAAAATTGACGTTAACACGTCTTTTAAACATATCTATAGAAAGTGTTTGGTGGGAGGGCGTATCTTAAAGTCTGTGGAAGACCCAGCCGCCAATCAGGAAGTTTAACCGTCTTCGTGCGTTCAAAGTAACAATTCAGCATCACGCTAAACCAGCTTCCTTGGTAAACTTTGTTTTGATACCAGTCAGGGTAGATGTACTATTACCTCTCTTATTTTAATTTGGTAATCTTCATTGTTATTTTGACCTTCAATATGTCCTTTTAACTTGTCATACACTTATTTTCCCAACAATTAACTCTTTACTATTTTAATATATTTGTATTCCTATGGCGAGTCTGTGTGTGATGGATCAGATTTCTTTTTGAAATAGGTTTTCCAAATGCACAATACACCATTCAAACAGGTTACAGCTTCTCATTACTGTGTTTAAATTCATAAAGGGAACTAACTATTTTTTTTAACAAAGACATTTATGAAATACATACCTCTTTCTTTTGTTCATAACCTAAAGAAAAAAGGGGAAAGTAAAACAAAAGAAAATATTGGTTAGTATTACTTCCTTATTGGTAATGAAATAGTAACATGAATATTATGACATTTTCATAAACTCTAAACATACTTTTTTCTATGATATATGCTGTAAAGATGACAATTTAGAATAAAAGTTAGTTGATAAAAGTGCGTTAGATTATACATATACAATGACCGGAATGAGCTACAGAGGATGAGACTTTTTTTAATATATAGCTTGATTCCACATTGTATTTTTCGGTACAACTATGGAATTTTCAGTAAGTAATATTAGTAGCCCAAATTTACTAGACTAACCATTGATATCAGATGTGCGTCGTCTGGGGATCGAACCCTGGAGCATGTGCATGGTCGGCGAGCGTCCTGACTGCTGTGCCATTGACCCATTGACTTATCTGCCTTGTGTGAAATACGTTTGATTCAAAGGTATTAGAAGTTGTTAGAAAGTCAACTTCATGTATATGAATAGCAATATACTCCGAAGGATGACTGAATGGCTTTATGGATATAACTCTAGCTAATAACAATTCGTGGATATGTATGGGCATAAGATGAATCGATGGCTGATTTAAACACAACAGTTTTGTATAATTCCAAAACAAAATAAATTAACTTTATAGTTCTCTACCCATTATTGAGCTTTCTGTAGTTTGTTTAATTTGATGCATAAATAGTAGCATAACCGTCAAAGGATTAACCAAGGATTGAAAAGATAAGTTACTTGGAAAATTTGATTGGTTGGAGCATTTCATCAAGGAATGAAATCAGTTAGAGAACCATTGGAAAACCTGGAAGGAGTACTACAACAAGACAGCTGTTTCGTCATCTTAGGTTGGGACTCTTTATCAGCAGCCATACGCCACCAGAGTTCGAACCCACGAATTTCTGGTTACAAGGCCAGCGTGCGCTCATAGACCATAAAACCAGTGGGTCTTGATCCAGTGGCTACTGCATGAATTCTAACTTCTGCAAATTCCCGACATACCGCGACCACTTCTCAATGTCTTTTTCGATGAGTACTTGTCTTCACCTTCAACTTGTTGTACCCCAATGGTCATAGCTTCCCAATAGAACTCCAAGTAACTGCCTCAATAGGGCCAATAACTAGTGAACATCAGATTAGTTTTCAAGTATTTTGTTTTGGAAGGGACTTTGTTTGACTGTTTGAAGGATTTTATCTAATTGATGTCAGCTCATGATGAAATCCTCCAACCACTCAAGCAAAATGCCTTAAAAAAAATAAGTACTTGGGAAAATTTGTGTTATTCTAGTTTGTTTTTAAAGTGACAACTTTTAAAGTAAATCCATGAATTTTCATAGTTGAGTCCCTTTGACAGGAAATAGAAATCTTTTCCACTCGTTATCCTCAAGAATATCCTCAAGCATGTGTACCACTGATTTAATATATGGTCAACTGAAGCGACTCAGACAAGTCCTCATGGAAAATGGATATAATTCAACATTTATCGAGAGAAACATGGAAGCAAAGCAAAATCCTGAAAGAACACAGACTGTGCCGAAGAGACTGATATTTATAAAGGTTGAATTTAAAAGTGATACCACAGCTGAGAGTTTGAAGAAGCGCTTGTCCAGATCACTGAAAAAAAGCCTTCTTTTTGGCTAGGCTACGGATCAGTTTTCACAGCCAACAAATGATCACTGGATGTGTGAAGTAAAAACTACTACTTAGGGTCATTTCAGTGCGTGTTTATAAATTCACGTACTCATGTGGAACCAGTTATATTGGCGGCAAAATTTCTAAACGCATCTATGAAAATTATCGGCATGGTTAGCAAAAGGACGATACTAGACAGTTACTAGCTCAATTCCCAAGCACTTGGTGAACTCAAGCCGCATAGCTCCACCGGGGTCGTCTTTTAAGACCATCTACAAGGTGGGACCAGTTGGTACAAAGGGCGTCAGGTTTCAGCACTTGTGTATAGCGGAGGCGCTGACAATCCGTCAATACAACCCTGAATTTTGTATACAGAAAAATTTGTCCAGCCTCCTATTTTACCATGGTCTTAACCTTTTCATCAGTCGTGGCCTGTAAATTTTTTTTATTTCTAATGATTATTTGGCTATAATTTAATAATTATTTCACTGTTATCACCCTCACATGTTCCTTTTGTATATTTTCTCACCCTCTTCACACTTATTAAATGGACACTCAACTACCTTTATTCTCAGTCAATAACAATTTTAACCCTATCAAATTTCTAACTCTTTCTTCCTTTGTGCCGTTGAGTATTACTTAAATTGTAACTTTTATTTTTATTTTTGAAGCCACCTCTGAGTAAGTGTATCAATGATGCCACCCTCCTTTACTTAATAATGAACATTTTTGCTAAATATAAATACGACTGATATAAGTGTATTTTTATTTTATTTTTTTTTTTTGATTGCAGCTTGATTCCACACCGTATTTTTGGCACAAGTATGGAATTTTCAGCGAGGATATCGGTAGCCCGAATTCCGCAGGCCGACCATAGATATCAGGTGTGCGTCGGCGTGGGTTCGAACCCCGGACCATGTGCTTGGTCGGCGAGAGTCCTAACCACTGTGCCACCGACGCACACTGTGGTAGAGTGTAACTCCATAATGGATGAGATTTTATGCTGATAAATCACACAGTGTTGTGCAGTAATATTAACTGATGACGTTTCGACTACAATTTATTACTACTCATAATCATATCAAAGCACTGACACAACTTTCTCGCTTCATTTACATACATGAGTAAAAATTGATGATTAGACATTTGAATAAAATCAATATAAGATAAAATACATTTGGAAATAATATTAGTGTTATCACTGAAATACAGTCAGAAGGGAAACAAGATGTTTTTTATAGTCAAAATATGTAACTTGTTACAATGATATAGTGTGAATTGGATACATTTTAACATTATTTATTATTCTCCGATTTGACTGGCGGTAATAATATCTTCCACATCTCTGGTATTTGCATTGAGTCAATTCTATGGCATGTTTTAGGTCTAGACTCGATGATCCAGGATTCAGTAATCAACCTCTCTCTCTCTCTCTCTCCACCTAACTGGATTACTTTTTAGAATTTTGGCTCTGTCTCACCCAGCCTATTGTGTGGTTGTGTGTCAATGCATGCAGTGTAATTGCTGGGTTTTTTTCTAAATTACTTATTTTCTTGGGATCAATCATTCTAGCCTCAGCTATATTCTTAAGTTTCGACAATCTAACTATTGCATGGAGGATTTAATCATGAGCTGACATTAGTTAGAGAAACATTCGAAAACCTGGGAGTACTGGACAGCTGTTTCGTCCTAGTTTGGGACTCTTCAGCAGTACGCACCCACCGGGATTCCAACCCAGGACCTTCTGGTTTCAAGGCGAGTTCGTATACCATTAAGCCACTGGGACCCGAACCAATGGTCCTTGAATTCTAACTTCTGCCAGTTCACGACATAGCGCGACCCCTTCGCAATGTCTTCTTCGTGGGTGCGTACTGATGAAGAGTCCCAAATTAGGACGAAACAGCTGTCCAGTACTCCCAGGTTTCCCAGTGGTTCTCTAACTGATGTCAGCTCATGATTAAATCCTCCATGCAATCAAACAAAATCCCTACAAAACCAATACTTGAAAATCTAACTATTCCCGATCTACCAGTTAGACCTGTGAAGTTGACCTAATTGAGAGTCATTTCAAGGTATTTTGTAAATTGTATTATTTTGTTTGATTGAGTCAACTGTGTCCACTGGCCTACAAAGCTTGTCCTACCTAAGTGAGTTTGTAGGTTTAAATGCCACTCTAATTCCTGCTTTATTGAGCACCCTACATAGGGTTTCAGATGCCCACTCCTTATACCGTATAACAATAAATGCCTTATATTCTGTCTTATTTATATTATCATTATTAGTTTCATAATTATTTTTATTTTACTTTCGTCCTTTTTCTGAGCTTCCTAATAAATTTTATAGGATAAATAGTTACTTAACACCAACCAGCTTTTCTTGTATCTGTTTTTATTTCATCATTTAGGTTTTTTGTTGTACCACCAAGTGCTATTGCTCGGTGTGTTGAACGCTTAGCTAAACCAGCCTTTACAGACAACGGATGAGATGAATTAAAGCCTAAATACCTATTAGGAGAATGCATTGGCTTTTTATAAATACGACTGTACAACCTCTGAAGGTGATTTCCTCGACAAAAAAAAGAATTTTCTTTGCTGAATAGTCCTTTATTTCCTTCAAGTAAATATTTACTTTTACCGTCCTACGAACTTCAGCTCTTTTAACATATCCCTGACTTATAGTAACTGACATCATGGTTTAGTGCAATGTCATCAATTGAACACAAGAAAAATCAATTAACACAAGGATTCATTCAGTACCTGGAAAAAGAGCTGAACATCATCTTCAACCAATTAAGTTCATCATGAAAAATTCATAACTATAGATTTCGGTTCACGAAGATTCTCGGACTAGTGTCTACACTGATGATCATTAGAAACCTTAAAAGTGCTCATTCAAGGAACCATCCAAGTCATATCAAAATAAAAATAGCTCCAAAGATGACGATCAGAATGTCAACAGAAGCCTTACTTCAAATAACCACTAGCGTTCGTAGAAGATTTCCAATTCAATAAGATATAATAGTGTGGAAAAAAACCACAGATGTAAGACAATATTGATCAGCGAAAAAAGAAAACACAGCGCCTGAAGAATGCAGTTAAAGGAGCTTATTATGCAGCAGAGTCACATTGTCTCTTAACAACCACCTCTATTCTGTGTCTGAGAAATAAGGAAAAACTACCCAAATTTGACTCTTCTGTGTGTATCTACTAGATTGACTGCAGCTACGGAGCCAGCTATACATAGGGCGTAAAATCAGACTAGTTCATCATCGTATTTCCAAACATCATCCAACATGGTTAGGCAAGGGACAAACAAGATCTATTCGTAGCTCTATTTCAGCACACCTTGTAGATAGTGAG